GGATACATGACATGAAATACATACCTCAAACATGGTAGAGTAATTATAATCAATGTAATACCCAGTCTGAGTCCCCACCTGATCCGTAAAATTGAAAAGGCAGTGCTGATACTCGTGTCCTGATCAAACTGAAATATAATATAAACAATTACTAAATACTATGCTCAGACTGATAAAATTAATTGTTTAATTCGTTAAGATGCTCTACTGGACTTGACATGACATTTTGGATTTTAATCGGTATAACCAGAACTGATCTGTTACGAATTGATCGGACATGATTTTACTGAACTGACCTGAACCCGAAATTTTAACTGAAAATAGGACCTGAACATGAACCGGGACTTAAAACATCATAATATATGGTGAACCGGTCTGAGCCGGTCTGAACCGGTCAGGTTGGACCGCCGGCCTGTCGTGGCCGGCAGTTGGCCACTGACTTGGCTCACAGGACTGCCGAGGCTGCACGCATGGGCGCTGCCTGGATTGGCCGCGGGCGCTGGCGGCTGGGCGTGACTGCTGCTGGCTTGCTGGGCAGCACTGGGCACGGGCGTGCGCGTTAGCGCGCGCTGGCGTGCCACTGGGCGTGACTAGCACGTCTGGCAGGCGATTGAACGCAACTGAAGGCCAACTGGGACGCGTGCGTGCGCCTGGCGCATCGCAGGCATCGGGCTGGGCGCTGTCGTCCGCTATGTGCGCTGGCTTTGCGCGACTGATGCTGCTGGGTGCTACCGCTCACCGCAGCGGGTGACTGGCGCATGAACGTACGCACTTGCGTGCACGAGGACTCGCTAGCCTGCACAGGCACTGCCAGCGGACCGCTGCAACGGGCAGGGTTGTGCGCGACGCCTCGCGGGCATGCACGCACGCTGCCCGCCCGCGCTGCCTGACTGATGACGGATCGTGTTGTTATCTATACGGTTGTGAACAAACGGCGTGTAACACCCCACCTTACTAGACAAATCAGAGTAGCGCATTTAATCGCAAAGTCTTTGAAAACAAAAACATTTTTACTTTGCGAAACTGATTTGGGGTGCTACCGTAAAAAAAAATCTTTACTTAACTTAGAAAACCGTTGTTTTAACTTATTAAAAACGTCCGGTTATTTAAAAACTATATTTTCTGAAAAGTTTATCAAAATATGATAAAACCGTCAAAATCATCAAAGCACTGTCAAAAGATCGTCAAAAGTAAGCGGAAGCGTAAATATTAGTTATACAGTCCAAAACACATATATATGAATGTCCTGAATATCCCGATCGGCTCCCGTCACGTCACACTCCCGGCCCGACCTGCTGACCTGAAAAATAAGATAAAACTGGGGCGTGAGCACTAGGCACTGTGCTCCGTG